CAGCAGTTGGAAACCACCAGCCGCTCTGCAAGAGAAAGATGGAGCTTTCTCCTCTTGTAAATAGTTACAGTCTCAGAACCCCACAGGGGCCACTGTGTGTCAGCCTGGACTCCATGGCAGGGGTGAGTTCTTCTCCCGTACAGTGTTAGAATCTCAGAAACTCGCAGAAGCAGGCCTACCATCCTCTGTGGCGTCACTCTGAGGCAGGGGGGTGTTTTGTTTTGTTTTGATTTACTTTTGAGAGCCCGGTGTCTGAAATGATGTGAAGGAATGATAAATCGAAAGCTACAGTGAGTATATATATGACTGATATTTTAGCTGAAACCATCATGAAAAGAACATGTCTTCCATGCATAGAACCAGGACAATCCAATTCTAGGAAAAGGAACAGAATCTGCTAAAATTTTAACTTGGAATGAGTAAAAGGCCTGGTTATTTTTAGTTATTAAAATCCAGAGTGCAGTCAGAGATGGTGGAAGATGAAATTAGAGAGGTATCTGGAGTCAGGTCATTCAGCATTCCTAGTTGGTTGTGGTATTTTGTGTGAACTATTGGACTGCAATCCTCATGGTCATCAGTTCGAAACCACCTGTGGGAGAAAGACTGGGCTTTCTACTCCGGTAAACAGTTATAGTCTTGGAAACCCACAGAGGGTCACTATGAGTCAGTAATGGCTCGATGGCAGCGAGTTTGATTTGGTTTTGGGTAATGCACTAACGTTGTCACTTACATGTTTCATTGATAATATTATCAGCTTACTGCCATTCAGTCAATGCTGACTCCTAGAGACCCCCTGTGGGTTTCTGAGACTGTAACTGTTTGGAAGAGTAGAAAGCCCAGTCTTTCTCCCAAGGTCCTGCTGGTGGCTTCAAACTGTGGGCCATGTGGATTTCAGCCCAACACATAACCATTACATCACAAGAGCTCCTTTTAGTGCATTCCTAAAGTTATTCTGAATATTGTGTGGAAAGTGTATTGCAGAAGTTAGTAAAGCAACCGGAAAGACTCATTATGAGAATGATGAAGTAATCCAAGCATGAAATGATGGATGACAGCTTAATTTAGGAGGCAGAAAATGCGTATGGGGAAAGTTGCTATATATGCATATAAAGATATGTGAATAGAAGCATATTTATACTTACCTGTAAAGAAAAGGTGTCATAGTGATTACTCATTGGGCTGCAATTCTCAAGGTCAGCAATTTGAAACCGCCAGCCGGCTAGGTAGGAGAAAGATGGTGCTTTCTACTCTGGTAAAGAGTTACAGTTTCAGAAATTCACAGGACAGTTCTAACCTGTCTTATAGTGTCTCTATGAGTTGGTATCCACTTGAGACAGGGAGTTTGTAGGGGCTGGTGGGGGGGGGGTTGTTACAGAAAAGGAATATCAAGCATACTTTTGTATCCTTGACAGAGCAACTTCTTAGGAGGGTCAAATGAGATGGGAAAGGTTAGAGAAGAACTATTTTGAAGATGAAATTCGTAAGTTTATTTTTAGATATGTTTGGATTGATATCTACAAATCCAATGAGAGAGAGTTTGTGAGGTATAGTTTGAGGTGTACATATGTATTTGAGTCTTCAAAAGGCAACTTATTTGAAAAGTGGGAATGGATGAAGGTATTCAGGCAGTAGTGTAAGTAGAATCCAAGCAAATGTATTTATGAATCTGGGGAAGTTAAATTTTTGTGGTTAGGTATCAGATAATTCAAGAAAGGTTGTTGAAAATAGAGCCACCAAAGGAGGAAAAATTGCCAAAGAGCAAGGTTTAATAGAGTATCAGCAGTTTATAGAATACAATGGGGGACAGAAGAGCTCACCTAGAGCATTTTGGTTCCAAGTTCCAGTGGAGTCATTGGTTCAGAAACCGTGACTATTGATAAACAACTGGGAAGTGAGGAAGAGAAGAGTACAAATATAGATTTTTTTAGTTGAGTTATGAAGGAGAGCAGAGGAAAAAAGGTTCAGTGAGAATATACACTTCAAGAGTTTTCTCTTTGCTTGTTAGTATTTTTAAGTTGATGTTTGTTTGCATATATATATATATACATCTTTCACATGCATATGAAGGGATTAAAAGTACCATGACTTGGTGCAGACATACCTTAGTCCTCACACCTGTGACATCTGTGATCTTTAACACTTTAAAGAAATCTCGTGCAGCAGAGTTGCTCAGTGCAATACATTGCTTGATTTCTTCACTGCTGCGTCCCTGCAGGTGGATTGTGAATGCAAACAAAATGAAATCCTTTATAGCTTCACTTTTTTCTTCATTTATCATGATATTGCCTAGTGATCCAATTGGGGAGATTTTAGATTTTATTCATTGAGGTGAATTTTCTAAAAATTCATTTAGATTTTTTTTCATAGTGAAGGCTGCAGTATAGCGCCAATGAAACACACTACTTTCCTCCAGTTCTCTGGTGCTTCCTTCCCCCCACTATCATGACCTCGATTCTACCTTCCAAATCGGATTAGACCAGAGCATGCACACTGCTACAGATAAGAGCCTGCAACACAGGGAATCCAGCGTAGATAACCCCCCCAGAGCCAACAAGAAGAGTAGAGATACCAGGAGGATTAGGGGGTGGTGCAGGGAGAAAGGAGGAATCAATCACAAGGATCAGCCTATAACCTCCTTTCAGGGGGACAAACAATGGAAAAGTGGGTGAGTGGCGACGGAGGACGATGTAAAATATGAAAATAATAATCTATACCTTACCAAGGGTTTGTGAGAGAGGGCCAGCAGGGGAGGCAGTGGAAAGAAATGGAGAGCTGATATCAGGGGCTCAAGTGGGAAGAGAATGCTTTGAAAATGATGATGGCAGCAGATGTACAAATGTGCTTGACACACTGGATGAATGTATGGATTGTGAGGAGAGGTGCAAGAACCCCCAATAAAAGTATTTAATAAAACAAGAAATTTTTTAATAAACCTTCCTCCAATCCCGATGCTGTGTTGTTGTTATCATCCAGTTTCATGGATTATTTGTTCAGCGTATGGACTGAAGAAGCATAATAAAAGTATTCAACCCTGAAGCATACCTTTTTCTAAATTTATTCCATGCAGTATTCACTTCGTCTTTTCAAATAACTGCCCTTTGGTCCATGTATCAGTTTCCCAGGAATATAATTAAGCTTCCGGCATTCTCTTTCTTCACAATGTTACCACAGTTTGTCATGATCCACATAGTCCCTGGGTCAGAGTGGAATGCCTTTATTTGGTCAATTAAACCCCAGTAAACTCCTCTCTGGTGTTCTATGCTTTCAGCCAAGACGCTCTGGCACCAGCAATGCTATCCCTCTTTCCGTATCCTCTTGTCCCTGCCTTAACTCTATGTCCGCTTTCTGTCGAACGAAACCTGCAATCATTTCTCAATTATTGTCAGCCAGTGTTTGCTTGTTTGTGATATTAGTGACGTTGTTCAATAATTTACACATTGGAATACTGGGTTACCTTTCTTTGGAATGGGCATACAGAATATGGATCTCTTTTAGTTGGTTGGCCAGGTAACTGTCTTCCAAGTTAATCGGCAAAGAGATGTGAATGCTTCCAGTGCTTATTCAGTTTGGTGAAACATTTTAATTGGTAATCCATCAATTCTTGGAGCCTTGTTTTTTGCTAATGGTTTTAGTGCAACTTGGACCTTTTTCAATACCATTGGTTCTTGATAACATACTTCTTGAAACGGTTGTTCTAACAATTCTTTTTGATACCGTGACTGTGTTATCTCCATCTTATTTTGATGCTTCCTGCATTGTTCAACATTTTGCTCCTGGAATTCATATCTTTGATATGAATATTTAATTTTCATATTTTCCCTTAGAAAGTCCTTTTTTTTCAGCTTAAACAAAAGTAATATATTTTATATCTGTCAGTAAGTTGTTTTTAAATTTTGTTTTCACTGTATTATGAGTTTTATGCTTATGTTTCATCCTGTGGGAAATGTTTCATCTAATTGGAAATGGTGTTTTCGCTTATAAATACTTCTAGAGACTTCATGGTCTCTGGACTAGTTTGTCTTTTCATTGTAGTACAAATATTGATGATCAAACTGTTTTTTGTTTTTAGTTTTGGATATACTGAGGTTCAGGGAAAGAAATTTCTGACAAAATATAAATTTTTCTCTGACATTTTTGTTGAAATCCCATTCATGGGGTTATTTTACTCTAAAATACTTCCATGTAAATAAAATTTCCAGTTTCATCTCTAGCATTCTGCTAAATTACTGTGTATTTCTCCTGCTAATATAACTAAAGTAGCACAGTGGAATTCATGTTAATTCCATTTATATTGAGGAAAATACAAGTTTGAGTAAGCTTTCAAGCTTACAAATATGCCAAGTAATAAAATAATTAACATGGATTATTTTAATATGTTTGGTTGACATGCACCATGTTGACATGTTATCACTGTGGCATATTAACAGGTAATTATATTGCCATGTTATCAGGTATGACCAGTCCCTGGAAAGTGCTTCATGCTTAGTAAAGCAGAAGGTCAGTGAAAAGTAAGCCCTTCAAGGAGAGGGACCGACACAGTGGTTAAACCGTGGGCTCAAATATAACGATTGTGAGAATCGTGAAAGACCAGCCAGTTTTTCATTCTTTAGATGTAAATTTGCCGTGCACTTGCCAACAAAGTAGCATTTTTAATTACATCTTTAAAAGTTTGCCATAAAAGCCAAATATGGTAACACCTGTTAAAGTCAGAAATTGTGTAAGACAGAAATCGGTTAGAACAGAAAAGCTCAGATGTTTTCCACTAACTAAACTGAGCAGTAGAAATGGGGTAAGGCAGCTTCCTGTGAGGCCAGATAAACCAGGCAGTCTCATGACGCTGTATGAGTATATCTTTTATAGGTAGTATTGATTTACCCAAATATTATTTTAATAAGAGTAGAGAAGTCATTGGTCATCAATTAAAAATTTTCAGGACATGCTACAAATCATATTAAACCTAAATTAGTGCAAAACTTTGCTGATTTGTGTTTTGTTAACAGGCTTATGCAGGCAAAGACCTGGAGGAGCAGTTGAGGTCGGTGTCCAGCGTGGATGAACTCATGACAGTACTTTACCCGGAATATTGGAAAATGTTCAAGTGCCAGTTAAGAAAAGGAGGCTGGCAGCATAATAAAGAGCAGCCCACCGTCAACACAAGGGGAGAAGAGAAGATAAAGTTTGCTGCAGCACATTATAATGCAGAGATCTTGAAAAGTAAGTTCCCTTTTGTCTTCAAACCAGCCAAAGTAGGTATCCCTGTCCTTTAATTTCAGCAGATATACCACAGATTTTACCTTTAGGGTCACCTGGACAGGAAATAAGAATTGATTTACAATACTGTATTTTATTATTTTACTTTCATGTTAAGATGAACTTTTAAAACTGAAAGATGCTAACATGTGATCTATCAACACACTTAAATTTTTTAAATGGAGCTAATCAGCTGCTGAATATTTTTAGAGTAGATATGGTTTGCACACTATCTCAGTGAAAAATGCAAACATTTTGAATCTTACAGACTGGTCATGCATAGATTTTTTTTTTTATTTGGATTTAGAAATGGTTCGTTTCTCTCAAAAGACACTAAAATCACCTTTCAAATGCTACTTATTATATTAATGCTTCAAAGACAGCTAATTAGAGAGCTGGACTTTTGTAAAGCTGCTGAGCTGTCTAACAAAAACCCCACACTAAGGCCAAATGAAAGAGCAAATTCATGGCCATTGAGTAGATGCCAGTTCATGAGGACTGTATAGAACAGGGAGGAACGGCTTCTGTGAGTGTCCAAGACTGTAACTCTTTACAGGATTAGAGAGCCCCATCTTTCTCCTTCAAAGCAGCTTCTGTTTTCAAACTGCTGACCTTGCAGTTAGCAGCCCAGTGAGTAACCAGTATGCCTTCAGAGCTCATAAGATATGAAATGACAATAATTTATGACCAAATCTTTAAAAAATTTAACTTCCTTCAGATATTAGAAATGTATTGCTACCTATCCCTTTAAAGGTTTAGATAATACAATGTATTTTGCAAATGAAACAACAAATTGACTCACGGTTGAATTACCAATAGTTTGTAACCTTTTTCTCCAAGTTTCTATTTTACGAAAAATATGGCAAAATAAACTAGCACTGATTATTTTTAGTGCTGCCTTTACCCAGTTCACAGTGGTATAAGTAAGCCACTGTCTCATTAGAAAAAACAACTCAGAGACTACAGAAGAAAGTTCAGGATGCAAGTCCCAGTGATCAAAAATATCCTCGCATTTTACGTCGCTTCCACCAGGACCTTACCCAAGCTGCCAACGAGCTGTCTGAAAACGATATTTGAATTGAGTCCAAAACCATAGCCATCTTCTCATTTGCATCTCCCTTGGAAAAGGAAAAGAAAAGCGTGTGGTTTACTCTTGCTTTGAGACCACAAAAATAGTACATGCTGGAGCAAAGGGGTTTGACCCGATCTCAGCAGGTCTTATAAACATCCATCTATTAAATTTTCATTTTCTTAAGTAAGGAGACCCAAACATAACTGCTGTGGTATATTGGTGTAATTTTCAGAAAACATTCTCCTAATTTAGCTTATTACATGGCTGTTCAAATGAATTTTGGTTAGCAAATACCCTTAGCCTCTTGGTTCAATATTGTGTCATATTCTCAGCCACAGAGAAAATCAGGTTCCTGCCAACTCCTTATTTCAAGTTACATAGTTGACTTAAATCTTGACATCTAAAATCAAATGTGATGACTTCCAACTGCGGTGGGCTTTTTCCCTTGGTGGCTTCTCTGTAACTCATGAACTTCCCTGTGACCCGACAGGTATTGATAATGAGTGGAGAAAGACTCAATGCATGCCACGTGAGGTGTGTGTAGATGTGGGGAAGGAGTTTGGAGCAGCAACAAACACCTTCTTTAAACCTCCATGTGTGTCCGTCTACAGATGTGGGGGCTGCTGCAACAGTGAGGGGCTACAGTGCATGAACACCAGCACAAGTTACCTCAGCAAGACGGTAGGTACTGCTCAGCTACAGACTGAGAGCCTTCTCAATCGGAACTTCAACTCGGAACCTAATGGGCTTAAAGAGCCCTTGCAGTAAATTAGCTCGATGCAGGCTTTCTTATATTTTCCTTTGGGAATGAAGTATCTTTTTCCAGATTTTATGTTTTCAGTGATAAAATATTACAAAGGAAGTAACTGATGATGTATGAACTCTGTTCATTTGGTGGTATTAAGGCCAAGTAAGGAAAATCCTGTAGTATTAATATTGATAACAAAAAATATTATTTTTGTAAATAGCTTTAAAACCCAGAAACTCTTCTGAATATCAAGATTTAGAACATATTTAAAAAATAGAACCCATTGCCCTCGAGTCACTTCCAACTCATAATAACCCTATAGGACAGAATAGAAAACGTAGTTTCATGTGGGTACCCTATGAAGAAGTCATGTATTGTTCACATAAGCTATTACATTGAAAAGTTTCCTAGTGCAGGTTAGAGAGCAACAGGAAAATATATATATTTCCAAATCAAACCTCAAGCACTTGGAATAACTTGTAAAGGCCATCGAGATATTAAGCTTTTACCACTAAGAAACTTCTCTGGAAAGTTGGGTTTAGACCAGGGATTCTCACACCGAGTGCACAGACCTGCTTTAGAGGTATTGTGTGGAAGAGAGGCTGGCTCGTGGAGGCTTTGTTTATGTCTGGACGATAACTGGGGAGTGTTGTTTGACAGGGTGTGGGCCACTGCCCTCGGCACAGACTGCTTGGAGAAGTCCAGTTCTAAGAGCAGGACTCAAGCTGATTGCTCCCCAAAGACAAAGCTGTCACTGCGCCCAAGGCTCCTGTAAGCATTTTGACAATCTAAGTAGTATACGTGACATGGCTCCACAGTGACCTGTGTTGGGGCTTTAGTATGAAAAAGTTCAATGATTTGAAAAATAGTATCTTAAATTTGATTTGTACTGTATAGGCATGACATCAAATTAACATTTTAAATTAAGAAATCCCAATATCTAGAATACATAGCTTGTAGATTTTAATTTCCTAGAAATGTTAAGCAAATCTGCATGGTTTGTAATCATAACAATGATTCTTAACATATGATTCATATAGCTAAGCATTAGGATCACTCTCAATTGTGATTTAATTGAAAATTTCCATCAATGTTACTCTAATGATAATTAAATATCTGAGTTAGGAGATATTTCCTGTTATAAAATTCCAACTGCCTTTCTCTTTCTACTATGGCTCACGCACCTGATGAAGGAACAAACCAGCATTTCAACTACTAAGAAAAGAAGAAACAAAAAGTGAAATATAAACTTGAATTTTGTAACAATCAGGCAAGCTATTGGGAGAGTTGATAAGTTGTTAAAGTTGTTGAATAATAAAAAAAATATCCTATATGTAAGCCCCCAACTAATTCACATTAAAGATAGTTTAAAATGTATTAGATGATATTTTCAGACCATGTATCATTTCTTTTGTAACCACAGGGTCTTATGTATACTCATAAATCACTTATTTTCTATTTCTTAAAAGTACAAGAAAATAATATAGTGTTAATTCTAACGTGTTAGCAAAGGTAGGCTTATGATTCTAAATGTACTAATGCATTTATAATGTTTATTAAATATCTGGCTGTGGAAAATGTGCAAACATTTCAGTGCTTGACAAATTAATGAATTAACATATAATTGAAGTATTTAGACATGGCAGTGTTTCTTGATTAATTTTTGTTCCTGGATTTATATCGCACAACGATTATTTATTTCCTAAGAAAGTATGATTTTGTATTTTACACTAGTTTGAATAAAGCAGTACTAAGTTTATTATTCTTTGTTACATCTTTATCTTACAACAACTTTGATGTGAATGTGCTTTGTTTGTTGGGACTGCACACACTTCCCCAGCCCCTGGCTTATTGGAGAGCAGTGTCCCTGCCAGTCGATAGTCTCCAAATGCAGAGTTCATCTTAAGAAATTTGTCTGGTGGTGGTAATTTATATTTCTCAGTTTCGTTTTGCTTAACTTTGATAGACTTAATTTTATATTAATTATAATTCTGATAAATAATTGATCAATGATTTATTGATAAATCAATAAAACAGCATTATTTTACATTTATGCATCATTTGCCAGCAGAATAATTTACTTTTGTCAGCTTTGGAATTAAAAATTTGAACATAATTTAAATCATTGTACAAACACCTTAGGTTTTTTTCTCAAGATACCTCTCATGTGACTCTACGCATTCTCTTTGGGTTTCCTCATCCTTTGACTTGACTTTCCCTCCCATAAAAGCCAATCTGCTCCCCACTGGAGTTATAATTTACCACTTTCCCATAGATAACAAGCATTCAAAGACCACTTTTCCACCGTGTCCTTTGTTTTGATGTATGTTGTCTTCATGCATCCAGTTGCTCATGGCAAGTTATTTCTCATCTCTATCCCAAAAAGAGGAATACTTTTGAAAATTTTATATATTAAATATCTCTAGAATTTATCTAGTATTTATTTTTAACACTACTCTTCACTGTGGCCTAGACTACTTTCATTTTTCACTTAAGTCTTTAAAGCAACCTCAACACTGCCCCATCCATGCTTTTCGCAATCCATTTTCCATATTTTAGCCAGTGATTTTCCCCTAATTGATAAATCATATTATGTTTCTGCTAATTATTCTTCAAGAAGATTATATTATCAAATTTAGCTAACATTCAGCTAGTGTATTGATAAACTAGCCTTTTCTAATTGGGTTGTTCAGGTCAGCATCTGTTTTGTTTATCAGTGGAAATGTTCTAAGTTTTTTACGGACAACTTGCACTACTCTTTTATCAGTTCCTCATGAAGTGGTGGCTTGCATAGTGCTGTGTTACTGGACACTGTGCCACTCGTATCTCAGATACCCTTCAGTCATCTGAAGTAATTAGCCTCCAGCGGAGCTTCCAGACTGAACATGGACTAAGGAGAAGGAGCAGTCTGTCCTCTGAGGACTCAGTCACTGAAAACGTTATGAATAGCAATGCGAACACTGACACATATCGTGCTGAAAATGAGCCCTCAGTGTCGGAAGTACGCTCAGTAGGCCTGGGGAAAGCAGCCCTGACGATGGGGATAGAGTAAGGCTTTCAAGACCTTCATTTGCTGATGTAGCATGGCTCAAAATGAGAAGAAACAGTGGGCAAATATCCATTAGTAATGATAGCATGGAATGGATGAAATACGAATTTAGGAAAATGTGAGATCATCAAAAAGGATAGATATCCTAGGCCTTAAACTGAAGCCAAATTCACTGTCATAGAGTGGATTCCAAATTGTAGTAATCTTATAAACCAATACCAACCTCACTGCCTTACACTGTATTCTGACTCACTGTGAGCCCTTAAGACAGTGCAGAACTGCCCTGGTGAGTTTCTGAAACTGTCATTATGGGAGTGAAAGTGCATTGTTTTGCTCCTGTGGAGAGGCTGGTGGTTCCAAACTCCTGACCTTGCAGTTAGCAACCCAATGAATGCATAACCACTACACCACCAGGACTATAGTAACCCGATACAGACAAGAACAAAACCAAGAAACACCTCTCTCCTATCAAGTCCTATAAGTCAGCGTAAAATTATTCATTTAGTCTTCCAAAGCTATAAATCTCTACAGGAGCAGAAAGCCTCATCTATCTTCCACAGAGTGGCTGGTAGGTTCAAATTACTGATCTGTGGCTAGCCCGATGTGTTAGCCAATTTTCTACCAGGGCTCCTATCTAAGATATTAGTGAACTGAGATGGACTGGTATTGACTAGTTTGAGTCAGAGAGTCATATATGTTGGAATGCAAAACACAAAAGAAATGGTATCCCATCCTCCATGAAAAACAACATTTCAAGATCTGTCTTGAAGTACAATGCTGTATGTGGTAAATAATATCTGTATGCCTACAAGGAAAAGCATTTTATACAATTAGTAATCAAATTTACACATTAATCACTAAAACTAGTAATGAAGAAATTGAAGATTCTGTCAACTCTCACTGGGAAATTTTCAAACATGTAATCAAGATGCATTGATGACTATCGGCAATTAGAAGATAAAGTTGTAAATAAAGAAGAAACATTAGTTAGAAAATATGGCTTTGGTGATAAAATAAAGCTGGATATTACATGATAGGATTGTGCAAAACTAGGAACTTCTTCATTGCAAGGACCTTTTCTCAGCAACATAAACAGCAACTATGAACTTGGACGATACCAGATGGAATACATAGGTATCAAATTGAATATCTATGTGATGAGACAATGAAGAAGCTTAATATCAGGTAAATCAAAACCAGGTTGCAAGTTCAAATTGAAACTGAACAAATCAGAACAAGTCCATGAAAGCCAAAATACGACCTTGCATGCATTTCAATTTAAGGAGTGTCTCAAGAACCAATTTGACTCATTGAGTACTAATGACTGAAGAGCAGGTGAGCTGAGGGATGACATCAACAGCATGATGCATAGAAGACAGCAAAAGGTCATTAAAAAGATAAGAAGGAAAGAAAAGATAAAAGCAGATGTCAGAAAAGAATCTGAAATGTTCTCTTGATCTAGCTGTTGTGGCTAGATTTTATGTCAACTAATACCTGGATGAAAGTATAGAGGTGGAGTCCCAACTATCAATCAGGTCACAGCCTAATGACACCTCCTTGGAGGTGTGGTCTTTTTATGAGAGAAACCCTGTGAGCCTCTTTCTTTCTTCCCCACCTTTTCTTTCTCCCTCTCTCTATCTCTCCCTCCCTCCCTCCCACTGTTCCCTTTCCTGCTTGCTTGGAATCTGTGTCTGCCTCCCAGGGCACCTCATGTGGGCTGCTCGCTCTGGGATCTGCCCGTGGCCTGCTGTGCTCCCATAGACCTTAGATTTGCCAGACTCTGCATCCAGCAGCCGATGATCTCAGAGGCTCCCACTTCACTTTTCTGCTGCAGCAGCAGCTGCACGCATCTGAAGAGGAGGCTGTGGCGAACATCAGACCTAT